GCACTTAACATCAGAATGAGTTATTGTCATCTGAGGTATCAACACCTTATCACCTGCATGGTCGCCAATAAGAATTTTATACTCAAGAACATGATAGAAGAGCTTCATCACAACCAAGCGTGTCCCATTGCACAGTCCCATTGAATGATCCACGTTTCGCAACAACATTGTCAGAGTTCCTACCTTCAGATGCAACTCATGATCGGAGTTCCAGAACACTTGATACTATTCAAGAACTCAGGCGTATGGAGTTCTGCTGGAAAGTTGGCATTGGACTCGGATTTATACGTACTGTTAGAGCTTAAATAAGTACGACATTCAATCAAATATGCATTGATAGATTCTACTATCTCAAGTGTCGGCGCAAGTATAGCCCTGTGTATGGGTACACTTGTTGCACTTAAATTGGCCTTCTCCATTCTCCATCTTGTTGTTGCACCTTTTGCATGCAAGATACGCCCAATCATCAATTACTGAGTCTATTGTAGCGCAAACTCATGTATCTGTCACGTTGAAAAGCGAAAAACAAATAATTAGTTAACATATATTTTCGATATTATTTTGAAAGGACAAATTTGGCATCAATCGTTTTATAAATTAGAAAATAACGAATAATATAACTACCTCATCGGTTTCATAGAAAGAATCAACGGAACTCACAACAATGTCACCGTCCTCTAGCTCTTGAAACTCACGTTTAACAATAATAGAGCTCTTTTACTTCAACTTCACACTCTTGATTTTTATTTCGAATATAAATAATGGTAAAAGTTATATTTTAAGTCATATAGTAAATTCAATATAACTTATAAAGGAATTTATAAAAATTGTAAATACGATAAAAGTTTCAAAAAATTGTAAATACGATTAAAATTTAAAAAAAAAATTGAAAAGTACGATTAAATTTTTTACGAATATATCTAACCAACAACACAAATTTTATTTATATCGTAAAATTTATGTAAATAATGGTACTTTATATTTTAAGTCATATAATAAACTAACTATAATTTATATAAGAATTTATAAAAAATGTAAATACGATTATAATTTTGAAAAACTGTAAATAACGATAAAAATTTTTGATCTAATATATTTATATTCGATAAAAAAATTTAATCGTATTTAGAAAAATTGTAAATACGATTTCGAGGTTTGTCACCATTACTTTAACAAAATTGGTTCATACTTATCACATTAGTTGTATAGTAGTTGGAATCATGAACTTAAAAAATATTTGACGTGATTTGTTTTTATCATGTTAGGAAATTGAACTTTCAAATTTTGGATAAATATGTGGGTTTTATTCTAATTGATGATAAAATAGATCATTTTTAATATTTTGAATACCAATTATAATAGACGATGTCGATAATCAAAAGCAATTTATTGAGTAAGAAAAATTAATCTCATTTAGTTATATCATGGTATGCAACTTGGTGATAATATAGATCATTTGTAATATTTTGAATACCAATTATAATTGATAGTTTCCGATAATCAATAGCAATTGAGTGTGTAAAACAATATTTTATCTCATTTGGTATTATCATGTTATGCAACTTATCCTTACAAAATTGGATAAATAAATGGAATTGTTTTCCAATTTGTGATGCATATTGTCAGACCAAACTTAATATTGTTTTTCATTTATTGACAGAATATTCGGCATAATCAAACCAAATGAACGATGATGCGGAGTACAAACAAACTTAATATATGTATCGATTTATTGAAAAAAAAAATCAGGTTACTCATAGTAAATAAATCATGATTTTAATTGAAGCGTGGCTATTTAAATTGATATAGTTTTTATAATATAAAGTGATTTTGTTTCAATGTTAAAAGTTAATTTATTTATGCTGCAATAATATTTGAGAGTGTCCATAAATAGATGATATTGATTGCTTGGAGATGTTAAAGTGAATTTGTTTAAACTTAAAAAAAAAAAAAAGTCTTAAAATTGATTTGTTTAGAAAATTTCTAAAAATTTGAAACGACAATGAGGATTTGGGATGTTGACATAAAATTTCAAATTTTTGAAAATTTCAAATGGTTGAATAAGTGGCACTATATTGCAAAAAATTCAAAAAAGTTTCTATGTTTAGTTAATTTTTATGCGGGATTTAAAATAATTTTTTAGTTACTATTTAAGTATTTTTTAGGTTGCTTCTTTATATAATAATAGATTCTTTAAAATTATTTGTTTTCTTGACTTATTTATATTCAATGTTAATTATTATGTTATAATGTTATTAGCGCAACGGGGGTGTAGCTCATATGGTAGAGCGCTCGCTTCGCATGCGAGAGGCACGGGGTTCGATTCCCCGCACCTCCACTTTTTGTTCCTTTTCAACTTTTCCTTGGGCCCTTCATCAAGAGTTCCAAATTTTGGGCCCCTAACAAATTTTAATTTATTTCTTATTGGGCAATACAGATTTCATTCAATTTATAACTTTACCTTATTGATCTTATAGAACAAAAAATATTTTGTCTTTTCATTCTTGTACTACAAATAGGCCCGTAAATGAGCCTCGGGTCGTTAAAAAAAAAAGCCTAAAATTGAGCTCGGCTCGTTTATCGCTAATATCGAGTCAAGTTCGAGCCTTAACGAGCTGATCTCGTGTTTTAACGAACCGAACTATAGCAAAATATAAATTCTTTTTTTCGAGTCTTTACGAGTGTTATCAGCTTGTTAACCAAATGAGCTCGAGCTCGACTCGTTTAAGCCAAACTCGAGCCTCGTTTAATTTAACAACACTAACTACAAATAGCCACAATAATCTCTTTTAGAACGAAAATAAGGCAGTCACAGTTTTTTGGAGTACAACACTGCAAATATTATCTCTCTACCTAAATCTAACGTCACAAATTATTATGTGAGGAAATCTAATCATTAGACGGACTAGAAAACAGTCTTCACCAAAATACAAAAATCTTCATGATCACACTATCAGAAATCCACATCAATTGTGATCAGAAATCCACATCAAATGCAAGAACAAACCCAGCAACATCAATTCAAATCGGCCTCAGAAACTGACATTATGGATGTGGAGAGAGAGAGAGAGAGAGAGAGAGAGAGAGAGAGAGAGAGAGAGAGAGAGACAGTCACCGGACAAACTTGGCAAACGAGCTAAATATATTGCTCAAATTCTCAACAGTATCAAAGAATCATGTACCTCGAAAAAGAATAGGAAGTCTGCATTACCTACACTATCGTTCAATACGGGAAAATACAAAAAAGATAAAGCGGCAAAAGAGACTAGTCAACTTTGTCTCTCTATTTAGACCAAGCTACGGTATCAATCTCTGCTTGAGCTGATCTGTACAACTCGAGCCTCTTTGCAAGAGAGAGACGCCGCTGCATAATTGCTGGATCCTCGTCTAATAGTTTACCCAACTGTCTCCCCTGTGAAGCCACATATAGAGCTCGTTTTCAGTTCGGTTGCCTCTCAAAACTACCACTGATATTTTAGCCAAATTATGAAAAGAGAAGGCAAATAGTTCTGTGGTTAGGTTGTCTAACTATTAGGCAATCAACCATACTTCCCTAACAAAAATGCAACTTCATTCTTGGAAATGTCAAATATTTCTATGAAAAAATATAGTTGTCTATCGGTTTGATAGCCTAAATTTCTCCTCCAAGTGAAGTATTTATCATGGAAGAAAAAGGAATAAGTGGGATCACTTTTTTTTTGATATTATTATTATTATTTCTCAATTCGACTTGAATTTAAATGGTACGTTGTAATTTTATCCAAATGGTACATTTGTAATCAACAGATTTCTTGTATGGGAACATTAGTGTGGATGGGGGATCAAATACAGCTACCTCTTTTTTGCCTAATTCCGTGAAGAAATGATCGAGTAAGCTGCGTTTTGCCTCACGGACTTGACAATAAACGACGGACTTTGGAATGGAGTTCCTCAGGCCCGCACAAACCATATTAACATAAGACAAGACAGTTGATCCTGTACAAAAGAAAGTAATACACAAAACCAAGAAAATTCAAAGAAAATCAACAGAGCAAACCAAAGGAAAGGAAAAAAACACGCTTATTATACTGACCGATTCTCCGGAGATAAGAGTCGTTATATCTGTCAAAAATCGAATGGGTTGGATTGCCACCCTTCTCGACATCCTGAGGAAGCTTCCGGAAGAAGTCAACAGTCAAGTAGCTGTTCTCCATTTCTACTAGCTGTAGAGTGGCCTTCCTGCTTTCTTCCTTCATCCTCTCTAGTGACTCGACTGCCGCATTCCCCACCTCCACTCTTAAAGAAGGATACTGCTTCAGCTCCTGCAGGCAACCATCAATAAGCATTTTGTGCAATCAATTAGCCCATTCTAGAAAGCGAAACCTAAATAGAAAAAAAAAAAGTCGAACAGATTCAAAAGCAAAGCAACAAATGTCCATTGAAACAGATCAAATTGAAGGCTTGTTGTGTCCACTATATAAAATGATAAAAGATCAATTCGATGAGGGAAAGAAGTTAGCAGGCATACCACGGTCTCATTAATTGACTTATGAACTAGTTCCTTAAGTATTGCATGAACCTGAAAACAGGGAAGATCAAAAGACTTGCGGCGTTATTAAAGTAAAGATCATGAACTAAAACACTCATATATATATTGGTGTTTGAGATGGTAAAAATTATTGCATCTTATTTTTGACATGGAAGTCTATTTTTCGTAACTAAAGAACTAAATACAATATAACAATATCAATATGCATAAAATTATGAATGTATACCGCATCAACAGCTGCCTCAGCAGGACCTTTGATGGTAATCAAGGCAGTTTCGATGAGACGACGATAACCCTGCTCGGGTGCTATAAGATGAGGCTGATATCCATCAGCTTCAGTTATTAATTTCCGAACATTTTCCATTGCCAGATGCTTGTCAAACTGTAAGCGTTTCAACGCAGCTGGTAATTGGTTATCGAAAACATTGTATATCTTATCACCGCCAGGTCGACTGCAGAATCACGATAATAAATATAATTGTTAGAAAAGATTGCTGATTAAAAAAA